CTTCACACCGCCGTGATTCTACCCCAGATACCCTCCATAGATTTGAATGAATTTATTCACAAGCTCTATTCGTTTTGTGCACTGTAGAAGAAAACTTGACCTTTTTGTCTCTCATGACTTTCAATTTTGTCACAACATAAAAAATATTTTGTCTCAAGTTCTTGAAGCCCTTTTGATGCATATGTCCGAGTTTACCATGCCATAATTAAATTCCATCTTTTGAAATGGATGCATTAATCAGACCTCGGATGTTTGCCCTCGGATGATTGTTCTTCCAGTGAATAATGCAATCCATTACTCAATAATCCTTTCGTGGCAAGAAAATGAGCCTTTGTACACTCTGAAGCTTCCATTTTCACTCTTAAAACCATACTCAATGTTACCTTGAACTCTTATTGAAAATAAATTTCTTTTAAATTTTGATATATGCCTCATTTCATGAAATTGCATTTCAATGCATCAAATATCTTGATTTGTATCTAGCCAGTCTTCACGGTTTTGCAAGTCTCGTTGTTTCAATGAAACACAAAAAACTAATATCCAAATTTAGCATTAATTCAAACCAAGATTTATTTGGGTACATTTGGAAAGATCACCCAAAATGAATAATCTAGTCTTTGCTTGGCTTAGATTCTGTGATGTTGGGTACATTTGGAAAGATCACCCAAAATGAATAATCTAGTCTTTGCTTGGCTCAGATTATGTGATGGTCAACAACTTTGCACTTTCATATACTTAACAACTACAATTTGTCCAAGTTACTTTTTTTTAGGTTCCTTCATCCTTTTTTTTTGCCCCGACAAAATCTTCTTGACATGGCCTCTTAATTGGTACATGTTGTAAAAATCTTTTTTTTTCTTTCGCCGGCAAACTGTTAGGCCATCACCAACATTTTCTTTCTTTGATATTTCTCTCATGTGCAATTCCTTAGAATTGAGAGAGGATTTCACTTTTTCCGTGGAAATACTAGTTTTCCCATATAGTATAGTATAGATAAAACGTTCATACTTTTTTGATAAAGAACTGTCGAGGATTTTGGTATGATCACCACTGTTGATTTAAGCTTCTTTGTTCTTAAGGTCCATCTTTATTTTGTAAGATCAAAATGCTTCTTATGTAATTTGGAATCATCCATTTGTAGGGTATACAACCTCTTCTTGAGATACTTGCAAAAGATTTCTTGAATTATAGATATTCAAGTTTCTCTCAAACTATTTTGGCTGATTATTCTTCTGCAATATCCCACAAAACATCATCTCTATGATTGGGTAGAATGGCACCCAGGCTTTATCGGTATGATCTCCCTGAAGCTTTGTATCAACTCTCTGCAATGCCTGATCAAATCATTTTGCCCTGTGGATTTGTTTAGCTCCCATCCTGAAATTGTCATGAAGATTTCAATCCATGTGCTATGATAACAATTTTAAGAACCACAAAGGATTGTTAAAGACTAGTTTTAAACACTTCTTGACTGCATCCCTTCTATAATCAAGGCTGTCTACCTTTATTAGTCTTGCTCTTTCTTGAGATTCAAGCTATTTGTTGAATAATATTCTAAAATCAAGGCTCTCTACCTTTATTTGCCTTCTTCTTTCTTGAGATTCAAGTCATCTGATCTTGAATAATATTGAACTTCACCTTCAACATTCTTTCTTTGTTTTCTGGTTTAGCCTTTTTTATTGAAATCAAATTATGTGAATAGTTCTTCCAGAATTTCCTCTTAGGACAACAAAAATCATCTCAGCCTTTAGCCACATTGCAGTTTCTTGGACCTATAGTGGTCGGAACTTGTATTAGATTATCCCAAACACCCGTCAGTCAGCAAAAGTAGACAGAGCATGGCAGCAGCAACACTATAATGCAGTCATGCATTTTCAGCAATAACAATGGTAGAGCTTGGATTATAGGTTTAATCCTTCCTCTGGTGTTCAACTTGCAGCAACGCATGGGATAGAGGATGGGAAGATAGGGAATGTGAGGAAAGAGAATAAAATGATTGGATTATTTCAGAACTTGTAAACAACTACAAATTTACAAAAGGCGACGCCAAGGCGACATAATCAGAAAGTAAGATTTTAAATAATCTAGTTATATCTGCCCACTAATTAAACGTTGGGCTAATTATCAAGAATCGCAAGAAACCGGTAACAGAATATAAAACAAAATTAAAAAATCAAAATTATCTGGTTCTCTTTAACAGCACCAAAGCTTGCGGCATAAGCTATTTGAAGGATCAAATTTTTTCAAAGCATTTAATATATGAGAAAACAATTGAGTTTTAATATGTAAAACGTTCATTATAAAAAATTCACTTGTTGTAAATCTGATAGCATATGCAAATCTAAAAAATCCACCAGATTAGAAAATCCGCAGTTGCTTATGCCAATATTGGAATTCTTGCGATGCAATGACACTTAAGTGATGTCTTAAATAGAAGAATGCAACAACAATTCAAGCTCTCAGAAGAATAACTCCAGGACCCCTGCTGCAAAACTAATCAAATAAGCTAGCTCAATTTGTACTACCATAGCCATCCGATTTTGAACTCCTAAAGGTATTCATAAATCAACATTTGGGCAATAATGTCAAAGTTGCATTGCTTAGCATTTATGTATCATTGTGAGGCCATAATTTGGGTGACGAAACGATTGACACACACACTTGGTTTTTACTCAAAAAAATAAAAATAAGAAGCGGGGAGGTTCACTTTTATCCATTTTTGAAATTCTCTTTCAAATGTCAAAATTCACGATAAACCCCAAACCAGATTTTTCATTTTTATCAAATTTGTTTGATTGTTGCACACAAAAGTACATATGTTGGATAGTAAAAAAGATCAACAAGGAGCTAGTTTTGTAAATAGCAATGTTTCAAGTGCTGTGTATGCAATTATACCTAATTAAAATAAGTGGGCTAGGGTGATTTTTCAAAGAATGAACTCTATTCCATCCATAAATACCTAGGTTTTTTTATTAATAGTAGCTGTAAATTCATGAACATTCTAATCCTAGTAACATTGAGATGATTGCCTTTTTCCTAAAAATAACTGGAAAAAAAAAAACTTGAACTAGGCGTTTCCTGTTAGATCTTTTTGCTTCCCGCAAACAGTTTATCAAGATAAATTATAGGTCAGAGAGCTGTGGCAAGCATGATGCTTTCATTGACAGCTTATCAAGCTAAATTTAGAGCAGAGAATCTGGGCAAGCATGTGGTCTATTACTAACAATTTTGCTTGATTAATTAGCTTCTCAGTGCTAGAAATTGGTATCAGTAAGTGTCCTTTTCAAGCACCATATGTGACAGCCAATTGAATGAAAAATGATTCATGTAGCCGACCGTACTTAGTGGGATAAAAGGTTGTTGTTGTTGTATATATTTTGCCTCCTTTGATGATGGTCTGATACAAATAGGTAGCACAAGCCTTCCATGCCTGTATGCCAACTATCCCGTTCAATTTGTCAGGTTTCATCAAAATTCTTGTCTGTGATTATTGATCTTTTCTTGAATCATTTTTCACTACAAGTAAACATTCTCCCCAATCGTAGCTCTCATAGCTGATATATGATGGTGAAGGGCATGCACGGAAATAGGTTAATGTTCCAACATACAGGGTTTCTTAGAATAATGGTATGAAATTTTTGCTTGATGGGTTTGCAAATGGAAGTTGTAACTTCTACATTCAACTTCTTATTCTGTTTAATGAAGCTTCAAATTCCTAAACCATGAATATACTTGACATATTGTGCTCACTTTTTTTGGGTCATTCTTGAACATATTTACCCTTCTATTGAGTAGCACGCTTATGGGGCGTTCTTTTACTATCAAGATTTTACCAAGTTTTTTTTTGCACTTTGAAGTTTTAGATTGTAAAGTTTATTCTATTTTAAGCCATTCTGAAGATGGAAGTTTAATCAACCTATTTTATATGTTTAGGTGCATTCATTGTGGAGTTGGTGCTAAGTCCACACCACATATGCGTCGCGGCCCAGAGGGGCCGAGGACTCTATGCAATGCATGTGGTCTTGCATGGAGAAAGGTAACTGAGGGAAATACTTTAATGCTGTGCTCGTTTTTTATTTATGTTATTTTCTTTGTTGATGTTAAATACCCACTATAGTTGTAATTTTCACCTAGAAGATTGGATTTGTAATACTTATTTGGCATGCTTCTAGAAAAATATATACGGTTGCTGTTACGTTCCGACTTCTTTGAGTTGACTATCTTCATTTCTTAGTGCTTTTATGGGTGCAGTTTTAGCTTCCTTTTGGTATTGCAACTCATTCTTTAGTATGATGATACAGAAGACGCTAAAAAAAGTGACCTACCCAGCCATGCAGTTTTAGCTTCCTTTTTGTATTGCAACTCATTCTTTAGAGTGATGATACAGAAGACGCTAAAAAAAGTGACCTACCTTGATGCTTCTGGGGAAGGTACTTTTGGTGCAGAAATGGTGCCAAAACTTGGTATGGAGTTTGAAAATGAGAACAGGGCATACGAGTTCTACAACAACTATGCTGGAATGGCAGGTTTTAGCGTGAGGAAAGGCTGGTTGGACAAGAGAGTTTCTGATAAAACTACAAGATCAAGGACATTGGTGTGCTCCAGGGAAGGTTTTCGCCAGGAGAGGAAAGCAGGAAATGAAGCAAAGCGTCCACGACCAGAAACAAGAATTGGTTGCCTTGCACGTATGAAAATTAAACTTATGCCAAGTGGATGGTATCGTATTACCAAATTCATAGCAGAACACAACCATCAACTTGCTCCTCCTTCATCAAAACACTTGTTGAGATCACAGAGAATCACATCTGAGTTTCAATCCGCTGATGCAGATTTATCAGATGATGCAGTAGCTGCTCTAAGATCTTCTGGTGAGTCCACTGGCACTAGACAAGATATTTATCTCCTACCATCAGATTATAAAGCTTGTCTCCGCTCAAAAAGAATGAAGTCCATGCAGTCTGGTGATGCAGAGGCTCTTCTGATGTATCTCCAAAGTATGCAACTGCAGAATACTGCATTTTTCTATGCCATTCAACTCGATGATGATGACAAGCTTACAAACATTTTCTGGGCTGATTCAAAGTCACTAGAGGATTTCAGCTACTTTGGTGATGTAGTTTGTTTGGACACCACATATAAATTTAATGTACACTGTAGACCATTCGTATCCTTTGTTGGTGTGAATCATCATAAGCAAATTACTCTCTTTGGGGCAGCATTTCTCTATGATGACTCAGTAGAATCTTTTAAATGGTTATTTAATACTTTTGGGATTGCAATGCGTGGGAAACTGCCAAAGACTATTTTGACAGATGAATCGGTTGCAATAGGTGGTGCATTGACTATGGTGTGGCCAGAAACAATGCATCGGCTTTGTGTCTGGCAAATTTATCACAGTTCCATGAAACATCTTAACCATGTTTTCCAAAGTTCTAAAACATTTGCAAAGGATTTTAGCAGATGCATCTACAACTCTGAAGATGAGGATCAGTTTTTGCTAGGATGGAGATCACTTCTGGAAAAGTATGATCTTAGAAGCAATGAGTGGATTTCGAAATTATTTGAGTGCAGAGAGAGTTGGGCTTTGCCATATGGTCGGCATACATTTTGTGCTGATATAAATAGCACACTTCAAAGCGAAAGCTTCAGTAGCGAGCTAAAAAAGTATCTAACTCCACAGCATGATCTCCTTTTCTTCTTCAGAAACTATGAAAAGGTGGTATCTGAGTGTCGTTATGCAGAACTTCAGGCTGATTTCCATGCAAGCCAATCCTTTCCAAGAATACCTCCTTCAAAGATGTTGAGACAAGCAGCCAGCATGTATACACCGGCAGTATTTGAAATGTTCAGGAAAGAGTTCGATGTATTCATGGATTGTATGTTATATAATTCTGCAGAGTATGGAACAATTACAGAATACAGGATTACAGTGGGTGAGAATCCAAAGGAATATTATGTTCGTTTAGACTCGACTGATTTATCGGTTGCTTGCAGTTGCAAGAAGTTTGAGTTCATCGGGATTCATTGCGGCCATGTTATAAAAGTACTTGATGTCAGAAACATAAAGGAGTTACCGGAGCGTTATTACTTAAAGAGGTGGAAAAGAGAAGCAAAGCTTAAATGTGAAATGGAACCAAAGTCTCCTACAGTATCTTTGGTATCAGGGCAGGTTCCTTCAGTCGCCCATCAAGGATGTCAACTGGGTCAGGTAATATTGGTATGATTAGTGTTTAACAAATATTTGCCTCACTTATCTCAGGGGAATTTTTTTTCCCGCTGTATTATGCAGGCTACAGGTTGAACCTTATCTCAGGGGAATTTTTTTCCCGCTGTATTATGCAGGCTACAGGTTGAGCTGCATCAAAAGCCTTTAAATCATAGTTCTCTATTAGATCTGGTGAGGTTGTTTTGGAAACATTGTGCATTGAACTGCTACCAGCCTTATGATTTGTCATGGTTAGCATATTTGGTATCACATCTAGACAATATTATTCTGAATCATTTTGCAGAGCTTCTCGGTTTCTGCATGAAACTGATCCCCTTCAAGGACTTGGGAGACAGCTTCAAGTAATTTTGTTGATTAATTTTGATGAAGATTTTGCTAATGATTAATGTTTCGATAACCCAGTTTCTGACTGCAGCTTGTATGCTTTGATGAACTATTTAATTCATTTGCACAATTGGGGATGTTATTAATAGAACTGAAGTTGGCTGGTTGATGTGGAGGAATGGCTTTGCTTTGATGAACAATTTAATTCATTTGCACAATTGGTGATGTTATTAATACAACTCAAGTTGGTTGGTTGATGTGGAGGAATGCTTTGGGCCTATGGTGTGATAGAAGAGTACCGCTCAGACTGAAAGGAAAATTTATAAAATGGTGGTGAGACCTGCAATGCTCTATGGCATTGAATGTTGGCCTTTAAAGGAGAGGCATAGAAGAAAGGCATAAAACTAAGTAAAGTGTTGCCGAGATGAGAATGCTTAGGTGGATGAGTGGCTTTACAATTAGAGACAAAATGCGAAATGAATATACCCGTGATAGGGTTGGTGTTGCTCTTGTGACGGATAAAATTAGATAGTCGTCTTAGATGGTTTGGTCACATTAAACGTTGACCATCTGATGAACCGATTAGAAGAGTAGATGTTTTAGATTTGATTTATGTTAAGAAAGGCAAAGGTAGATCCAGGAAGGCATGAGCAAATTGTTTAAAAAATGATCTTAATTTATTAGAATTAAATGAAAATATGACAATAAATAGGACAATGGAGAAAAATGATTCATGAGCAGACCCACTTATTGGGATAAAGGTTTTGTTGATGTTTTAGATTATTTTAAGTTGTTTAAAGATTTCAAATTATTTTTAAAAGGTTTTAGAATTATTTTACTTAGGTTTTAAAATTATATATATTTTTTAAATTATTATTATTGTTATTATTTTCTTTAAAAAAGGTTTTAAATTTATTTAAAATTATTTTAAAATTATTTTAAATTGTTCGAAATCAATTTTAAATTATTTTGAAATTTTTTAAAACTATTTTTGAATTGTTTTTTAAATTGATTTTAAATTATCATTATTAATTATTTAAAATTGTTTTTAAATTGGTTTTTTATCATGACACTAAATAGGACACAATGGAGAAAAAGGATTCATGCAGCCAACCCCACTTAGTAAGATAAAGGTTTTGTTGTTATTGTTGTTGTTGTTGTTGCACATTTGCTGACAGAATACCAATAAACATATGAAGATGTCATCAAATCTGATACTTGTCTTTTCATTCTTTGCAGGTCTCTGGTTCCCATTTCTTATATATGGAATATCGACTTCTATGACGCCTTTTCAATTTTTTTTTGTTGAAAGCAGCCCCCAAGATTAATAATAATTGAATTCTGTTTCTTGTCTGCATTATTATTTTTTTTCTTTTTTTTCCTCATTTCAAAACTGTATGTTTAACAAATGCTAGTTTGGTTGCTAGCAAGTTCGAATCACCTAAAGGAAGGCTTGTGCATTGAACTGTTTCCAGCCTTATGATTTGTCTTTACATGTTTGATGTCATATGTAGACTATCACTCTTAATCTTTTTGCAGAGCTTCTTGGTTTCTGCATAAAATTGATCCCCTTCAAGACTAGGACAAGTTTTTTCATGAGGATCAGTTTTATGCTGAAACCGTGCAGCTCTGCAAATAATAAACAACTCAATTAGCAAAACCTTCATCATAATTAACCAACCAAACTACATAAAAATTCTTGTCTCCAAGCCCATCAAAGGGATCAGTTTTATGCCGAAACCGAGATGGTCTGCAAAAAAATAAACCACTCAATTATAATAAGTGAAATCAAGCCTTCAAGTCTCAACCATATTATTTTCCTTTAGCAAAATCATTGCATTTTAGTATTAGTTTTATTGGCTTTTGGTTACCATTAAGCATAAATTATCATTTTTAGTTATGTTTGATACTTTGGATAATAATCTGCATATTTAATTTTGATAATTAGTATGCATTCCTTATAGGATGATTATTTACTCAGTATTTATTACTTGATCTGAACACATCCTCCTTTCTGAAACCTGTTACCACACAATAGTGAAGAAGACTCTGGCTGAACATCCTCTCCATTTGCCTTGACAACCTCGATTTCATTCATTCCTTTTTTTTTTCTCAATCTAACTTGAATCCTTCTAATTATCTTTTTTAACTTTTTGGTCCTTTGGGTCTTTGTTAATAATGAAGCCTTAGATGTTGAACCCACTTCAAAGACCATGGGGACAACAAGTTCAGATTAGAATTTGTTGTTGACTAACTTTTTTATATTCTTACGTTCAGGTTGGTCTACTCTAGAGATTATTTGGAGCCTAGTGTCACCTCTCAAAAGAGCCCTTATGGGTGGTGGGCAGCTCATGACTTAAATACTGCTTTTCGGCCCTACACCTAGCCGATGTGGGACTATTTGTCCGTGACATTCTCCTCCACCCAATCATGTGACATCCTCGTCACGGATGGGCTCCACCGAGGGTCCCACTGAACCATGGAGAGTCCACACACCTGCCAGGCAGTAATCTGCTTTGATACCACTTGTCACCTCCCAAAAGAGCCCATATGGGTAGTGGGCAACCCAGGACTTAAATACTGTTTTTCGGCCCTACACCTAGCCGATGTGAGCCTATTTGTCTGTGACACTAAGGACTGGGGAGTGAAAATAAGCCTATTCATTTTCAATGGTGGGAAGTTAGTCTTATGGCCCAGATTAAAGTCTAGAATGGTTTTCTTATTAGTAACTGTTATAGGATTGATAGTGGTGAATGTAAAAACATACGACGTCTTTCAAAGTTGATCGAATCTCATTTCAAAATTTATCTTGCTTCAATCATCAAGGTGCATCTTGTTAAGGCCAAAGTTGAGGCCAGACCGAAATTAGAAGATTAGCTTGCCTGATATGTTCCTATGCTTGAATCACAAGAATAATGTCAATGTCTTAAAAGTATAAATTATGATTAAATTTGATCTTCTTTGATGTTTGATAAATTTTGACTCTAAATTTAAAATTTTAGAATGTGTCGTAACACATTTTAAGCTAAAAATACATGGAAATTTAGCATGTGTATAGAATAGGAATGATTTTATGCATTACGGGAAAAAAGCGGGTAAAGAAGTTAGTCTATGAAACTAATGAAACTAATATTAGGATAGGATCTTGGAATATAGATACTTTCAATGGTAAATTATTGGAATTAGTTGATATTATGATTCATAAGAAAATTAATATCTTATGTATTCAAGAAACTAAGTGGGTTGGAGAAAAGGCTAAGGAGATTGATAATTTAGGTTTTAAACTTTGGTATTCGGGTAAGAGTCGCACTAGAAATGGTGTAGGTGTAATTATAGATAAAAGTTTGAAAGATATTGTTGTAAAAATTAATAGAGCTGGAGATATAATTATTCCCCTTAAGATTATCATTGATACTAAGATTTTAATATTATAAGTGTTTATGCTCCTCAAGTAGGTTTAGATACAAGGTCTAAAGATAAATTTTGAAATGACTTAGAAGACTTAATACAAATGATACCTCTTGAAGAAATAATTTTTATTGGAGAGATTTAAATGGACATGTCAGTAGAGTGGTAGAAGACTTCAGAAATACTCATGGTGATTACGATTTTGGAGTAACTATTGAAGAATGTAGAGTTATTTTAGATTTTGCTTTGGCGTATGATTTTGTTATTACTAATACTTTATTCAAGAAAAGAGATGAGCATTTTATTACTTATAAGAGTGGATCTAATAAAGCACAATATGACTATTTTCTTATGAGAAGTAGAGATTGTGCGATTGTAAAGATTGTAAGGCCATTCCAAGTGAAAATTTAAGTACCCAACATCGTTTATTAGTTCTAGATTTTAAGATTAAGAGTTGTAAATAAATAATACTAGGACTCATCATTGTAGAATTAGATGGAGAAACTTAAAAGACAAAAATAAAATTATTTTTATGAGTAAAATTTAATATTTCAAAATTTGGGATATTCATGAAGAAGTAAAAGTTATGTGGGATAAAGTAACAAACGCTATTAAACAAGTTGCAAAATATGTGCTTGGAGAATCAAAAGAAAAAGCTTTTATGAATAAAAATAGTTGGTGGTGGAATAAAAATGTGCAAGAAAAGATAAAATATAAGAAGTTATGTTATAAAAATTGGTTTAAATATATAAACTTAGAGAACTGAGAAAAAATATCAAACGACCTGCAGGGAGTCTAAAAGAACAATCTGTGACGCTAAAAATTATGCTTTTAATGATCTTTATAATAAATTAGATACCAAGGAGGATGAAAAATATATGTATAAACTAGCCAAATAAAGATAAAAGAAAAGTAAAGATTTAACTAAAGTAAAGTGTATTAAAGATTAAAATCAAAAAATATTTTTTTTAGAAAAAGATATTCAAAATAGGTGAGTGAGTTACTTTGATAAATTTTTTAATTAAGTTTTTGAAAATACGATCAACGTTAGTGATTTTAATATCGTGAATAATAATAAAACGTTTCATTTTTATCGTCGCATTAATAAAAAAGAAGTTGAGGAGACTTTAAAGAAAACCAAGAGTGGAAAGTCTGTAGGATCAGATGATATTTCAATTGAAATGTAGAAATATTTGGGAGATTTGTGAGTTTCTTGGGTTACTAAACTCTTTAATATTATTTTGAAAACTAAAAAGATGTCTGAGGAGTGGAGGAAGAGTATTTTGGTCCCTATTTTTAAGAATAAAGGGGATGCACAAGAGTGTGCAAATTATAGAGGATTTATGTTGATTTGTCATACTTTAAAGTTATGGGAGAGGGTAATTGAACATAGGTTAAGACACATCAGAAAGATTTCTCATAATCAATTTGGATTTATGTCGCGCAGGTCTATTATGGAAGCTATACATTTATTGAGAGGTTTGATGGAGAAGTTCAAAGATAATAAGAAGAATCTCATTTGATTTTTATTGATTTAGAAAAAGCTTACGATAAGGTTCCAAGAGATATCCTTTGGAGAGTTCTTGAGAAGAAAGGTGCTGATACGACTTATATTCAAGTCATTAAACATATGTATACTAGAGCTGTTACTTGTTCAAACTGGAGGATTGACCAAATATTTTCCTATTTCTGTTGGATTACATCAGGGATCGGCTTTAAGCCCATATCTTTTTGCTTTAGTTATGAATGGTCTTACTGGACATCTACAGGAGGATGTATCTTGGTGTATGCTTTTTGCTGATGATATCCTTCTCGTGGATAAAACGAGAGAAAAAGCGCAGGAAAAACTTGAACTATGGAGGTCTACACTGGAGTCTAAAGGTCTTCATTTAAGTAGAACTAAAACTGAATACATGGAATGTAATTTTAGTAGTAATAGCTCTAGTGACAGAAGTGTGACTTTGGGTGATTAAATTATTAAAAGGTGTGAACGATCTAGATATCTTGGGTCCGTTGTTCAAAGCGATGGTGATATAGATGAGGATGTTAATTGTAGAATTTAAGTTGGTTGTTTGAAGTGGAGGAATGCTTCGGGCCTTTTGTGTGACAGAAAAGTACTTCCTAGAGTGAAAGAAAAATTTTATAAGATGGTGATGAGACCTGCAATGCTCTCTGGAACTCAATGTTGGCCTTCAAAATAGAAGCATAATACTAAGTTAAGTGTTGCTAAGATGAGAATAACTAGGTGGATGAGTGGTTTTACACTTGAGATAAAATGTGAAATGAATATATTTGTGATAGGGTTGGTGTAGCTCCTGTGACAGACAAAATTAGAGAAAGTCATCGTAGATGTTTTTGTCACATTAAGCGTCGACCATCTGACGATCTGATTAGGAGAGTAGATATTTTAGATTCGACTTATGTTAATAAAGGCAGAAGTAGACCTAGGAAGACTTGGTCTTATTGTATAAAAAATGATCTTAATTTATTTAAACTAAATGAAAATATGACACTAAATAGGACGCAATGGAGAAAAAGAATTCATGTAGCCGACCCCACGTAGTGGGATTAAGGCTTTGTTGTTGTTGTTGTATAAAATAGGAATGATTTGGGATTTCAATATTAATTTTAATTTCTATAATTTTTTTTATTATTTTTTTTGATTTGATTTAAGGATTCAATATCTTCATTGAAATTAGGTTTAACAAGAGATTCAAGATCCAAATATTTAATTTAAGAAATGAAAAGTCACTTTACTAACTTTAATCATGGCATAAGGTTTCAGCCTCATAAATCAATTGAATGGGCTTAGAACCAAACTTATAAAATGTAACTATTTTCCAAAATTTTAAGGATTTTGGTGAGTTATATTAATTTTTGTTTTGATTTTCTTTGATGAGGATTACTTCTGATAAAGAACCTGATTCTAGAATAAGAATGTTTAATCAAACTTATCAAACGTAAGTATGTTAGTATTCTCTGAACCTGTAAGGATGTTAGCGAGTTATATTGATTTTGTTTTCATTTTCTTTGATCTGGATTTATTTTTTGACAAAGAATTAGATTCTAGAATAAAAAAGTTTGTTTTGATCGAGACTTCTCTTGAATTAATTGAACCTTTTCTCAACAAGCTTTTATTCACAAAAAAGCTTATAATTTGTACATGGTTTGAACAATTTCATTAGGGGTTTCAATTTGAAGGACATTAGAACCTTCTCTAAATAAGAGATTTTTAAAATCTAATTTCAAATGTTGGTGACATTTTTTCTAGAATAAAATGAATAAGATGTCCATTGGAAAAATGTACTCTTTACCTATGAGGGACATCAAAATATTACCCATTACATGAAGGTAAAATCAAACAACTATATATGGAGAGAGAAAGCTTAACCAAAATAATCACTAGAATG